GGGGGGAAGGGAGCTCTGAAATAAATAGAGAGAGGAGGGTGGGCCTGGGGAAGGTAGGTGGGATGGTGATAGGTGAGTGCAGGTAGGCAGTGGTGGGGGTTGGTCAGTGAGGTGGGAGGAGCGGATAGGTGGGACAGAAGATGGACAGGTTGTGTCAGGTCAAGGAGGCGGGGATGAAAGTGAGGGTTGGCCATGGGATGAGGTCAGGGTTGGGGAAATTTTGAAGCTAGTAAAGTCCTCATTGAGGCCATTGGGTTGTAGTCTCCCAAAGCAGAATATGAGGTGCTGCTCCTCCAGTTTGTGGGTGGCGTCATTGTGACACTGGAGAAGGCCCAGGATGGACATGTCGCCCAGGGAGTGGGAGGGGGAGTTGAAATGGTTTGCTACTGGAAGGTGTTTTCATTTTTTGTGAACCGAACGTAGGTGCTCCACAAAGCGGCCTCCGAGCCTCCGCTTGGCCTCACCGATGTAGAGGAGGCCACATCGGGAGCATCTGTGGCAACAGAAACTGAGTTTATGTTGAAAATCCAATATTACTCTTCTTTCGGAATTTCTTAACAGATAATTGTAAGCAGATACTTGTAAATTTTACACTCCCTATAATTTATTTTGCACTTGCAGTGTAAAGTGTTTTCTTTTGTAGCATGTTAGCTCTGAAGACGAGTCAAATTGGATGTGAATAAGACCAGAAGACATAGGAGCAAAACTCAGCCATTCGGCCCATCGAGTCTGCACTGCCATACTAAACCCTGTGGAGTTCCGCTAATCACCAGCTGCCATCCTGAAAAAGACCCTTTTATCCCCACCTTCTCCCTTTTGTCAGTCTGCCAAACCTCAATCCATGCCAGTACCTTGCCCCTAATACCACAGAATCTTAACTTATTTATTAGCCTCTGGTGAGGCACCTTGTCTAAGGCCTTATGGGAATCCAAATAGATCATATCCACTTGAATGTTCTTTGTCTAACTTGCACACTACCTCCTCAAAGAATTCTAACAGATTTGTCAAGGCATAACCTCCCTTTGCTAAAGCTGTGCTGACTCAGCCTCATTTTACAATGCAATTTCAAGTACTCCGCAATGTCATTCATAATCTTAGACTTTAAATCTTATCAACAACTGAGGTCAGGCAAACCAGCCTATAGTTTCCTGTCTTCTGCCTCCCTCCCTTTTTAAAATGGGATGTTACATTAACTATTTTCCAGTCCTCTGGGACTCCCCCTGACACCAGTGATTCCTAAAAGATCACCATCAATGCCTCCAAATCTCCTTAGCTTTCTCCTCCAGAGTCCTGAGGCATAGCCCATCCAGTCTTGGTGACTTATCCACCTTAGACCCTTCAGTCTCCCCAGTCAAACATTAACTCTTTTTCTCTCGCTACAGATGCTGCAAGACCTGCTGAGTTTCTCCAGCAATTTTTTCAGAATTTTAGGATCCATAGTATTTTGTTATTGATTAGTTTTAAAGAAAGACTTAAATGGAAGAGAACAAGTCAAAAGGATTTTGGATGGGAATCTGGAATATCAAGCATACATGGCTGAAGGGTTGGTATCCAATGGCGGGGAGGGCAGAGATGTGACAACTAAATTGAAAGAAGACAGAGTGTGGACGGGGCATGCTGGAGGAAGGTGAGATCATGAATACAAAGACTCACATTGAAAATGTAAGAATGAAATGTTCTGTTATCACCTTTGGAGCAAATAATGGAGTTGGCGATTGCCTCAACACCAACTGAAGCATTCCTAAATGATCTCTTGGAGAATGAAAGATCACCGCATTGATTCACTACCAGCAGATGGCAGAAAATATAAAGCAATTGTAGTTGGGCACCTGAATGCACTAGGTGCAGCAAACAGATTTCTGCGGGCCAGGGCACAAAAAGCAAGCAAGATGTGTGGCTGGTGCAGTCTGCTGCACCCACCATGATCCTGTATTCCAAGATCAATACAGGTTGTGCAGTGTTAAAGCTCAGAGTCATACACCCGACAGTGGGAATATGGTTTCACACCGAAGTTTGAACGTGCACTGTGAGCCTAGGTATTAAGAGATCATGATAGTCAATGTAGCAATGCTGAAGGGGAAGCTACTAAGAAAATTGTACAGCGAGCTGACATGCAGAACAAACACAAAAGAACACACTCAGACAATGACA